TGCTAGTGTGACAATCCCTCTTTGTTGGGATTCACTTCAATTGGAAGATTTAGGAATTAACAATGAGGAATTCGAGTGGGAAGAAGTTGATGGTGATGACGAGAGAGAGGTTTTAAGCGTTTTAGCTGAAGCTGATGATAACAATTCAATATCGGTTTCCGTCTCAGCCACAATCTCTCTAGAAGATTTAGCTGTAGGGGAGAGAAGGGGAAATCTAGGATGGGAAGTTTTGTTGAATTCTCGTAGTCTCGAGTTTAGCCTCGACGATGCAGAAAGCAACATGGAATTATACATTGGTGACATTGATCAAGAAGATGAATATGATGAAGATTATCGTCATACAACAGAGTATGAAATGTTGTTTGAGGCTGATATCTCATCTGGTCTTGGTAAGCCTCCAGCATCCAAATCATTCATAAAGAATCTAAAAGTGTCTCCTCTGACCAAAGAAGATGTGATGGAGAACGACGATCCGATGTGTTGTGCGGTTTGCAAAGAAGAGATGAATGTAGGAAAGGAGGTTGCAGAGTTGCCTTGTAGACATAAGTACCATAGTGAATGTATTGTTCCATGGCTTGGGATTAGGAACACTTGTCCTGTTTGTCGTTTCGAATTACCTTCAGAGGAAGACTAATAAGCATGGCCTGTTTTTGAAGACCCTGAAAAATTAGGGTTTATAAGAGAAGCTGAAGATGAAGAAGGTGATGACTTATTCGTGTAATTGATAGGATAAACTATTACTTGTAAGAGTTAAAAGTTAGTAGAAATATCTTTATATATAAATCAGGGTTTCTATCTCTCTAATCTCTCTTGATATGTTTTTGTAAGATTGTTTTCCCCCCCCCCCCTTAAATTGAATAATTTCTATCTCGTTTCATAAATATGTTTATATTACAAGTCGTATACACTTTGATTAATTTATAAACAAGAAATCATATGATTTTAACGACAATGATTGAAACTAGTCTGATACATGTTTATAGTGTGTTTGACCGAGTCGAAAACTGTTTCAAAGTACAGACCAGAGCTATACATTTAAGAACTTAATATATATATATATCAAAATCTTTTTATAGAATATTCTGTGAACTTGTCATTTTGAACATCTAGAGATTCGTTTTCTATAATCAATGATTTTTTTAGTGAGATATATAAGTATTAAAGATGAATAGAGCTTCAATGGGCTCATGTTTGTTCAGACGAAAACTTGCAGAAAATTGTCTGTTTCTGGAAACAAGACTTTACCTCTCCGTAACGTTAATTACATTTTTAGCTTTGCATTTTCAAAGCTGTTAAGCATCATTATCTATCTTTTTAATCTACTTGGGTTTCTAATTTTGATTAGCCTTGAAATTCAAGTTTATTCCTTAATCTTGGTCTGAAAACAATGCATTAATTAATGTTTTTGACTTTATAGTAATTTTGTGCTTATTATCGGCATTGTTTTCTTCTTATATGATGTTACATCCAATTAAAAAAAAAGGTAGGTTTTACAAAATTAGTATTATCTTTTGTACAAGTGGGTAAGCAATTTGATTAACTTACGCTAATGTGAACACTAAATTTGAATCGTTTCGCATTAGTTTTTGTATGCTTTTAAAGAAATTATACTAATCCTAGGATTGTCTAAATTGACGATTGCATTTGGAATAGTAAATTTGTGAGTGAAAGTAGCTAAAAATAGCGTGCAAGTTAGCATCCACCGACCCATTTCACTGTAAAGTCTTAATGGTAAAACTTCTTATGACACAAACATTGTCGGATCCGCACATAATGAAAACAAAGATTTTTCTAACAAGACTTTATACAATTGTAACCAAACATGAG